ATTCCGGGAACCCAAGAGGCAAGAAAATTTTGGGAATGATGAGGGCAACAAATGTATAGATGTGCTTTACACAATTGATCTATGTATTGTGACGAATTGTATGAGCCCCAATAAATTGATTAAAAAAAAAAAAAGAAACTCTTTCAGCAGCGCTTGTCTTATAGAAAGTGACCTCGACTTGTTTGATATTACAAAATAACTATCTTCTATTTCATTACAGCCAGGATAAGAAAAATCCTGTTTTATTAACCACCGTATATACTTGAGTATAAGCCGACCCGAATATCAGCCGAGGCACCTAATTTTATCACAAAAACTGCATTAAAAATGTGCTGGAAAATCTCGACTTATACACGAGTATATACACGGTAAATTAAAAAACCACCTAATTTCAGCAAAGGAAGATCGATATGCATGCCAGATGGATACTGCGGGTTTCCAGCTGCAAAACCTGATCTAGAGATTTGGAGCAGAACTTCAGCATCGCATTCGTCTGGGGTTGGGTGGGGAAGTTAGTACCCAACAGTCGTAAGATGTAGTATTGTGGTGTTTTTCTCTTACTGCACAATAGATTCAGTCAACTTATGTACCAAAATATTTATTGGAATATAAGAGAGAACATTATAACTTGCTATATTAGGAAACATTTAACTAAATTTTATGACAATATACTAGGGAGGACATACTTTATCACTCAACCATGACTGTTTTTCTTCTTCAACTTCTCAGCAAACCATCTTCGTTCCCTTAGTATGTTCTAGTTATCACTCTTTTTGTTGGTATGAACTACTTATCCGCTTTGAACTTCTGGTGTGGGCCCTAGAGGCATGGTGGGTGAGCCCTTGAGCTGCTAACCATAAGGTCAGTGGGTGTAATTCACTAGTTGCTACCCAGGAGAAATGCTCCTATAATGATTTTTAATAGTCTCAGAAACTCTATGTGTTGGAACGGATTTTTCTGTTTGTTTCTTCGTTTCTTCAGAAATGCCCATTTTGAAAATATGGGGTACTCCTTACAATGTTGTGACCATGGCATGGATTTTTGGTTGGTTCATTTTTACTGCAAAGTTCAACCTTTTGTTTTGTCTGATTTATAGATCTCTACCTTGAGGTGCAAATTCCTAGCACCCATGATTCAATTGTCTGTGCTTTTCCTGGAGGACCCTGAGCACTCTTGTCTGCTTGGGTGCCATCAATATTTAAGCTACTGTCCCAAACATGTCTTTTGTAGGTTTATGGTTCTAATTTTGGAAAGTAAACTGGGGAAATAAGAACATGGAATATAAATCTGAGCCAAGAAGTGCATGGCAAAATATGACTTCTTTGTAAAACCATTAAGAAGGCTCTACAGGGAGGTCAGAGAGCTAAGAGAGTCAGGATTATGTAGTGCAGGTGAGTGATATGCCAACGGCTGTTGTGAGGTTAAGGATACCGATGACAATGCCACTGCTTGTGGGAGGTCTCCAAAAAGCTTTTGCAGAGTACTTGCAGCATTTGAACTTTTAAGTGGAGCCCGTGGCCATCCAAAACATGGTGCTTCTTTGGAGAAAGCAATTAAGCATGCACTCCAACATTGGCAAGACTGATGTTCCTGGCAAGGGGAAAGTGGCCACCTGCTTTTTTTTTTTTCCTAATAATTTTATTAGGGGCTAATACAACTCTTATCACAATCCATACATACATCAATTCGTTTGTACATTCATTACCCTCATCATTCACAAAACATTTCCTCTCCACTTAAGCCCCCAGCATTAGGTCCTCATTTTTCCCCTCCTCCCCGCTCCCCCTCCCTCATGAGCTCTTGATAATTTATAAAGTATTATTTTGTCATATCTTGCCCT